ACGTGAAGAAATATAATACAATTTGGCACTTGAAGCTACTTTCCTTTTCTTTCTGGCTGTTGAGTGCGATGTCAAAATAAGTTCTTTAAAAAGCAAAAAAAGTATTTAGTATGAAGGCAATATATTGCCTTCATACTAAATACTTTTTTTTTTTTGCTTTATTTACAAATAACTCTCACTGAACTAACACAGCGAACCGCTCAACACGTCTGTACTCTCTGCTCATATGAGCAGAGAGTACAGACGTGTTGAGCGTCTGTAGTGAGAGAGTGAGAGTTATTTGTAAATAAAGCAATTTTTACTAGCAGTCAAAAACTTATGTGTATGTGTTATGTCTGCATTTTTTATTTTTAATACGAACAAAATTATAGCAGAGGTGCTGCCACGTGTCTGGCCAGAATGAGAGCACTAATTTGTTTACTTGGTAGTTCAAAGAAACGCTTCAGTTAGTTAAGAGTGAGAAAAAAATATTGCTTTCACGTTTCTAGTTTTGCCTTGTTATACAATATTTGAAAATATTTGTGGGTGTTTTTTCGTGTTTTTTTTTCTTTGTTGCTGTTTTTTGTACTAGTGCCAGCAGTAGCACACAGCTCATTAAAGTTTGAGAATTCCAGAGTAAGGAAGTGACTTGACGTGGGCGGTGCTCAGACTCTGGGTGTGGAGTTTACCGGTTTGATCTCCCTGTGGTTACACGTTGTAGGAACTCTCTGAAGTTTATCTAAATTCAAATCAAAAGAGAAATAGAAGAGCGCTTTTCACAAACAAGCGGATGGGAATCAAGGAACAACACAACCTACGTCAGTTTGTATTCCCGTGCGGAATAAACTCTCCATCCACGCTTTACTTTGTGCTCCGATTTAATGCCGAATGCTGGGGACAAAAACAGGTGAGCGCTAATCGCTGTTAATGTGACAAAGCATAACCGGATTCTGGAATAAAGAAAAGCTCTTCTCTTTAAGACATAGTCCACTGACATGCTCCGAGGAAGCTCACAAAAAGCGGAAATAGTCGCTAAAAACGTACATGTATGGTGTTTATAATTTTTCTTTAATTTTATTTATGTTATTTTTCCGTTCGGTCAGTGAACAGACAGGATGGCTTCACAAACAGTAAAAGCCGTGCAATTATTTTTTATTGTATTTTATTTTTTTAATTAATTAATTTATTTACTTATTTATTTCTGTGCAAATCTAAAGGTCAGCTACAGGTCGCTGGACGCAGATGACCCAAAAGCAGGTTAAATGCTGATTGGCTGCTAAGTGGTCCGGTTGTGCCAAGGTAGGTATCCCCGACATAATTTGTTTCCCCTGAGTCGGGAGCACGCGCTGGGCTGTCCAAGTCACGGATATCCCACGTACTTGATTTTTAATTCAAATACGCTTGTTATAATGACTTTTTACTCCTTTGAAGATGTTAGCTCTTTATACATTAAGATTACAGTGGGATAAAAATAATATCATGCTGATCCTGCCACGATTTGTTTTTCCTGTCCAAACACGGACAAACAGTGTCCCACATACTTGATTTTTATTTCACAAACACTTCTTATAATGCCTTCTTACTCCTGAGATTTTGGAGGTTGTACCTCTTCATACAGTTAAGTTAGAGGGGGATACAAATAATTATGTGGCAAAATGTCCTCGTGATAGTAAAATAATCTCTAAAAGGTGAAAAACAATAAATATATCACTTTCTGTTGTAATTCACAAACTAAACGGTAATGTAATGTAATTTTCCACTTTTTCACTAAACTAAAACATCACGACTTCCGCGTCGAGTTAGTTTTAATGGAGGCGCAATAAACTGGATCCTTGCTCCAGGCGCAGGGGAAACAGGTTCTATCGGGGATGTCTATCTGATCTCTCCGATGTCTATTTCTTATACAGAAAAACAAGCAGAACAGGTGTGCCTATGCGATTGCACAGTTTTTAAGTATTTTTAAGTGTATTAAAGTCCAAGAATTCCCATAGACTGCTTTCATTGTACACCTGTTTGAGCATAAAACAAGGGAAGTTGCCAGGTTCAGTATGCAAAACATTTCACGGAACTTAAAATTCTGAATCTTTAACAATATACTCTAGATGTTGTTCCTACATTGACTATTAAGATAATTTGGCTTCACAAATGACTGGCAAGATTAGAAGGTTTTTTTCTTCTTCTCTTTTTTCAGTGGGTTGTTAAAAAATGCCATTATGTATGGAGCACTTTGCAAATCTCTCTTTTTTTTTTTTCAAATGTGACCTTGTCCTGTGACATAGAGTTGTGGTGAAAGTGTTGCACTTTTGTGAAAAAAATTGTCCTTAAAAAGCGAACTGTGAAATAAATGAAGTCGACATCAAGTGCTGATGAGCTTGTTGTCATCGACAGCTTCGCTTCTATACGGAAGCGTAGAGCTACGGAAGCGTAGAGCTGCCACCCAGGCAAAAGAAAAATAGAAGTGTATCACGTTATAACGTGAAAGGTTTATTGTTCTAACAAGATACTTTTCCTGTTTGTGCAATATACTTTTCACGTTTGAACAACATAATTGCACGTTATTACAATATACATAATCATCACGTTCGTACAATATACGAACGTGATGATTATCACGTTCGAACGTGATGATTATGTATATTGTAATAACGTGATATTATGTTGTTCAAATGTGAAAAGTATATTGTACAAACATGATAGTATATTGTACAAACAGGAAAAGTATCTTGTTAGAACAATAAACTTTTCACGTTATAACGTGATACACTTCTATTTTTCTTTTGCCTGGGTGGCAGCTCTACGCTTCCGTAATTCTATGCACGCTCCGCTCATCCAAACGGGTGCAGCTTCCCCATCACTGTGGCACCAAATCTGTTTGTCAATCTCCCACTTCCTTCATTTGTGAACAAGACACAGAGATACTTAAACTCCTCCGCTCCCGGGCAGTGACTCGCCCCTGACCCGGAGTGAATCCAGTGAATCCCCCGCCGCCCCGCCTTCTCTTCCCTGTGCCGCAAGCAGCAGGCGCACCTCGCAAACGGAGGGCCCCTTACTCCCAGCAAACCCAATCGGTGCCTACGACATTCCCGATATGCGTTGGCATGATGTCGGGGCAGCATGAGTACGAGTAATTTTTTATTTCTATTTTTTTGCCCCCACCATGATGCCGCCCCGGGCAACCGCCCGTGTCGCCCGAATCAAAAACCGGTACTGCCCTCCAGAGTGAGCTGGAGGCCACCACTCAATGAAGCCTGCAGAATACGTGCTGTACAAGTTCTCATGATAAAATATGTTTCCTTTCTCTGTAGTTTTCATGGACAACAAGAAGAGGCACCTAAAAGGCATCTTGATTTGCATTGCAGCAGCAGTGATTTTCATCTTTTTCTATCTCAATTCCAAGAAAGTGGTTAGGAACATTCCTTATCAACCAGCATCAGCAGAGCCACGTTGGGAGGATCCAGGACCATATCATGTGGCCTACCCACGAAACTACAAATTCATCATGGATGACACGCCTACATGTACGACCACAACTCCTTTCCTTATTCTGATGGTTCCTGTTGCACCCAGTAATGTTGCAACTCGGGATGCCATCCGGCAGACGTGGGGAAATGAGAAGCTGGTTCTGGGTCAGCGGGTAGAGACTGTCTTCATAGTGGGCCTCCCTGGTGGAAGTGATGCAAAACATCAGCAAGAGAAGCTTCAGCAGGAGAATCAGCTGTACCATGACCTGATTCAGAGCAACTTTCAGGACAGCTACAATAATCTGACTATCAAGACTATGGTCATGCTGGAGTGGCTGGCTGCACACTGTACTAAGGCTTCCTTTGTCATGAAGATCGACTCCGATGTTATACTCAATGTCCCGAATCTGGTGAAACTGTTGGTGGATCCTAGCACAGCTAAGCAAAACTATATGACTGGGCTGGTTTGGTGGCATAGTCCTGTTTTAAGGAACCCATTTATAAAGTTCTACATGCCTC